GCTTACTCGAATCTAACTCGACCTAAGCCCATATATGGTCGCTATAGGCAGACAATCCATCAAAGTTAAAAAAGTATAAACCATATCCAACTTCTAGGTGGGGTTACAAATTTTTGATATTTCAAAAAAAAAAAAAAAAAAAAATGGGGGTGAAACGGAGGATAGAAAATGGATTCCCATTCAAAAGAGAGCAGCCTACTCCAGTACCCTAACGACACTTTCATTATTAATATTTATACACTTCACATGTTTCCAGCGATTCACATATAGCATCATCAGATTTAGTGCGATGGTTGTTCATGGACTAGCTATACCTACCGTTTTCTTTTGGTGTCAATCACAAACACAAAGGCTCCACACATCCTATTGATTGCTATTGTTTCACAAGCTTTGTCTATTGCTTGCTTTTATTATATGTGTACAATGGAACATTGAAGGTCCCCTTTCTTCACTCCAGCCACTGATCTTCCAGGGCTGCCATTGCTGGAGCTTCAAGACTTGCCTTGCACCTTCGATAAGTCAATGAATTTGAACATTTTGACTTGCCATTTCCTCTTCAACCATATTATATATCTAGTATATGTTGATAGCAACGTACACTCGGCGTGACCAATATAGTGATACTAAGAAAATTTAGGCCCAATGTGATGTCCCAGGCCCCACCCAACTTTGAATGGTACTATCACAAGTTATTATTTAAGGTCTTATCTCGTATATAATTGTCTTAATCAAATCATATACTGTTCACAAATTGATTGGAATTTTTTATTGAAACTTTGATGTATATTATTAACTTATTTTATTAAATCTTGTTTTTCAAACTAAATTAAGTATGTAACTCCTCTCGACTTTGATGTGATTGAGATTCGATTTCAATGTCTATCGACACTTATACTTCAATCGAAAACTTAATTACGAAATTATTAGAAACGTTCTACTTATTTTTTAACAATTCCATTCATATATAAGCAATCGTATTCATGGAAGATGAATAATATGACAAATCATAAATATAGAAATTTGAAAAGAAGAAAGTAGCATGTAACTTTCAAAACATCGATGTCACACTCACATCAAAAGAAATAAAAGAAAACTAAATATTTTATTGATAAATAAATTTTTAGTTAAACCAATATTCTCGATTACATAACACAAATTTTATAAAATCAAAATAAAAGAAAATTTAGTTAAATTAAACTTTATCAAATTATACCTTTAAAAAATTACACCAAATTTATTTCACATCACATAGATCAATATATTTCACATGAATTTATATCACTCATTCATTAACTAATGCATGAGAAAGAAATGTGAAGGTGATTAAGGTTGGGAAGCACAGATAGCTCTGTCAAAAATCCATAGATCCTCAGGACCTCGTTCTTCAAAGCATCGTCTTGCTTTCTTGCACGAGTAGTAGTTCAAACCTTGGATAATTAGTGATCATCAATTAGCCTCTTTCAGAAGCATTGTCTAAATTTATCGATTTTGGCCGAAATGACCTAAAGGCCTTTTAAGTGATAATACTCTTTATAACTAAACAATATATTGATTGAATGATGTAATATTTCATAAAATTCCAAATTTTCACTTACCATTCTTCAAGAAATCAATGAAATTCGTAAGAATTTATGAAAGAGAAATTTTAGAAATCATGGGATTGGAAGGACTCAGGACTTTGCCACCTCATACAATAAATAAATAAAAATTAAAAAAATCCATATATATAAATAAATAACACAAGAGAATGGTCGGGGAATGTCAGTGGGCCGGTGACTCAAACGTGGGCCCATTAATCTTAACAATCACTCTTTTTCATTTTCATTGAAAAATATTTCTAAAAACGACGTCCTCGCTGTCTTCCTGCGTTATTATATGTATGACTCATATCAGCCGCCCGCCCGCCCTACTTTTTATTTCTCTCTCTTCTATCAACTTGTCCACGTGTTGCTCTCCCATTGCTTGCCCGTTTCGACCGCTGGATTTGTCTTGCAGCTACGAGGTGGTCCGCTTTTTGTTTGTGAGGTCTCTTCACCTTTTCTCTTTTTCTTTTATGTTGTTATCATATTATCATATCGTGATAAATTCGTTCTCACTTTCACTCGATACCACGAGAAACTCGAGTATATACATTTCGTCCCAAGGTTTTACTTAAATAAACTTTAGTTTAATTTTTTGATAGTAACAATTTAATCCCTATTGGTTGTAAACCTAGCAAAACGGATGGGTTGGTCCAACAGGTACAGGTCCATGGGTACGAGCCCAAAAGATTATTCTAAATGGGCTAAAAATATTGAACTCGTACAGGTGGACCTACAGGTTCTCTTACTGTTCCACATCAATTTTCTTTGTTACAATCACATCCCCACAACAACTCCTCACAATTCATTTCAAATTCAACACACACCCTACATCCATTGCAAATCAGCTAGACCCTCCTCTGGGGACCATAGCTGCCATTAGGCATCACAACAGCACCACAAAAAGCAAGGGACAACCCACAACAAAGCCTAACCTGGACGACCCATCTGGGTAGTGGGAAAATCGTGAAATCTTGCAACGCAACAGCCCTTCGTCAATGGTTGTGGTGACACCCCAGGGGAAAGGCGAAGGCACGAGGCTCGGGTGATTCATCCGGCGAGCAAGGGGCTTGTAGCACCCAGACGATCACATCACTCTATATCTGTCGCGTGTGGCGCAATTGGAAAACATATTGGCTCATGGATATCGACCAAAAGAAGTGAGACTTCCAACGAGCAACAACACGCGAGTAGACTCGTTTCGAGGCGTACGCAGGACCATATCGGACAAGGCAGATTTGGTGCAAAAAGAGAAAAGCGACTGTCGAAGAAGAGATTTGGAGAATAGAATTTTAGGAATTAGGGTTATTATTATTATTTTTTACGGGAACCCGAGTATACTCAGCCCATCTGAAAAAAAAAAAAAAAAGGGTCAATCAGCAGTACAAGTCGAAAAAAGAGTCCAAATTTTCAAACGCGTACCTTATATTTTTTAACAGTATGAGTCCACCGCGGTAACTATCCGTTTTGCCAGGTCTACTATTAGTAACATTTTGAGTTTTGATCTATGATTTTACAAACTTTAGGGACCAAAACTAACTAAAAATTCTACAAGACTAGATTATATTTATACCAAACCTCAAGAATAAAATTATATCATTCCTAGTAAATCATGTGCAAATCACAAACACTTAGTTGAATAACAATCTCAGACTAATTATAAACTTAATAAATTAATATCATAAATTTATAAAAGGGCGTTATATATATTATGAAATTAGTATGTGTAATTAAAATTTGTCTAAATAATTGATTGTAAAAGGCTGGAAAACAATATTTGCTTCAAAGGGAATCACTATAACCAATATTACATAAACAATCTTGTTTTCATTTAAAAAAAAAAAAAAATCATAAAATCTCATATATAACTCATAATTGGTTGGAATTGATACCACATCATACTGTTGTTTTATCGTTTGCCTCTGATTTTAGTTTTATAACTTAAAAAATTGACTTTGTACCAACTTAAACCAGATTTTACTAGCATTTGCTTGTTTTACAAAGCAACATGTACCTAATCATGTAGTCAAAAGAAACTAAAACACCCAAATTCTAACAAAAGTTGCCGAACAATTAATGAGAATTTTAATTTTGATGGTAATATAACCACATAATAATACCCAAATTAAATTCCACTTTACTTTTATTCAAATCAAGAACTTGACAAAATACACAAAATTCCAAATTAAATAATGTAATGAGTTGAATTTGAAGTAGGTTTTTGAAATGGTATAAGAGGTCCAAATTGAAAATCAAGGAATCAATTAAGAAATCCATTATGAAAATTTGACCAATGATTTTGTTTCTAGCTCTCCAAAAATTGAGTTGATAGGAATTTGAGATTGAGATGTTGCATTATGGACTTTTCCGAATGAGATACAAATTAAAAAAATAAAAAAATCCAACACCACGGGTCAAAATACCTCAAATATATCAGAAGCAATATTGAAAGTAAAGGTGCACGAAAGCTTGCCTGTCGGTGAGTTTGTAGGGTGTTTCATAGATCCTAAAGATTAATTGAGGTACGCGTAAATTAGTCTAAACATTCTGATCCCCAAAAAAGAAAAAATTAACCACTTAGTTGTAGGCGGATGACAAGATCTTAGGTTACCTAGAGATCTTGTATTCGAATCCCACCAAATGATAATGTATCATATTTATGACTTATCTAATCGATTGAGTTTATAGGGTATTTAATAGATTTTAAAGATTAATTGAGATGTGCACAATAGCCGTAAACAAAAAAAGAAATATTAAAAGTAAAGTAAAATTTGACTTTATTTCCTAAAATATTGTTTGAATTTATCGTGAAACCTCACCCCCATAAATCTCATCTCACAAAAAAAAATACGAGCAACAGTAACGAAAACCATCCCAGCACCATTACCATAATAATACCAGACTCCAACCCGCCCTTCTGTTCATTCTGCCGCCCGCCACTTCCTCAAAACGCCATTTCTCTCTCCTCCTCCCTCAGTCTCTATAAAAACAGCTCATTCTCCATTAATTTCACTCTATTTAATTACTTATTTTCTCTTATTATTCAAGGTAAAGCTTTTATCAAAATTTCTAATTAAATTCATAGAATCCCACGAAAATTTCCGATAAATTTTATCAAAATCTAATTTTTTATTTTTCAAATATTTAATTTTCTGTTTCAGGTTTTTCAGCTCATTAACTCCATAGATTCTGCAACTCTCGAATTCAATATATATTTTTTAATTCGAAGATTTGCAGTTTTATTCACAGGTAATTTGCTTTATCAAATTTTGATTTTTTAATGTTAATGTTATATAATTTGAGACTTTTCATGATCAGTTGTTACGAAACACGTGTTATGTAATGAATATAATAAATGGGTATTAATAAAGTCGAAAGCTTTTGCAGGTGTATGCACTTTTTTTATGTTTAAATTCATTTATGTGAAGTGGGCAGTTGTTAGATTTCATGTTTTAATTTTTAATTAATTTCACCTATTTATTGCTGCATTTAATATGGGTTTGTGGTTCTGGTTCATGGGTTTTTGATGAATTGGTGAATGGATTACTTGAAGTTGGTATTGGTTTGATTCTGTTAAAGTTTCTTGTTTTATTTATGGATAAAAGTTGTAGTTGTTGTATTAAGAAGCAAGTTGAGAGTTGTTTGAAGCCTATATTTTTAATGCTTTGATTGTGTTAAGTTTCTTGTTTGTTTATGGGTATATGTTGACTTTGCTTCTGGGAAGATGCTTTGGTGGTATGATGGAAGTTGAGGAATATATTTATGATGATTTGGATGACTTCAAGTTGGTATTGATTCTGACCATGTTCGATTGTGTTAAGTTTTTTGTTTATTTATGAATGGTAGTTGACTACTTGACTTTCTTTGCGAAGAAGTTTTGATGTTATGATACAGGTTCAGATGTATTTAGGAATATATATATATATATATAGGCTTGGATGACTTCAAGTTGGTGAAGATTCTGAACATGTTTGGTGGCGATAAGTTTCTTATTTGTTTATGAATATAAGTTGACTTTACTTTTGGAAGAAGTTTTGATGTTATGTTTGNATGATCACAAATGAATCGCGCTTATCGGAAGATATAAGCAGTTTGCTTGCTGCAGCTTCACCCAATAAAAGAAAGGATATCCTAGGGGAAAGACTTTTACCACTTGTGAAGAAAATCAAGGTATAAATAGCATTAAACGATCATTTCTTTTATCTTCATTTGCACAAAGTAATTTATTTATTCTATTACAGAATCATTTTTTTTTTTTTTGTAAAGGATTCTTCGAAGATAATAGAAATGCTTCTAGAGATGAACAATTCCAAACTTCTTGTTCTATTAGAGTCTCCGGAATTATTAGCTTCAAAAGTTGGAAGAAGCTATTCGAGTCTTAAAGTAGAATTTTTAGCTTCACAAGTGGCAGGTAGAAGAAGCTCTTCTAGTCATGGAAGAAGAGGGCACTTCATAATTTCTAATTCAACAAATAACATTTAAAAATTTCTAGAATTAGAATCCTTCTTCAATAGTTGTATAAATCTAAAGGTGGGCAAAAACTGGACCCAATTGGGCCCGGGTCTGAGCCCAGTTGGGACTAGTCTTTCATGGGCTTGGGATCAGTCTCAGGCCCATGAAAAATATTAGGGATCGGACCTGTCCCTAGGACCGACCTAAGTAATTTCATTTACCTCCTTATATTTTTTTATTGCAGATCTTCTGTTGAGATTGTATTTTGATTGTACACACCTTAGTAGTTGATGGCTTCACCAGATATTTCTTCTCCATGGATTTCATACTCTGGTGAATCCTTTTGTGGGTCGTTCGATACACACATGGAGGAGGGGAATACAGCCAAAGTTTTACATGTGCTGGAAGCTCCTACCTCCTCTGTTTCTTATAACTGTAGTACTCCTAAACCACCTCCGCTCCCTGATAAAGCTTGTACAAAAACAAAATATCCCAAGAGACTTGTAGATTGTAGCTTGGTCCCAAAGGAAACAAAAAATATATGGGATAATCTTTTTAAGGAAGGCTATGGGGCAGATGTTTATATTATTACAGAGGATAAATCATGTATTCCAGCTCATTCGAGTGTTCTGGTGAGTTGAACTTTGATTTGCACTAAATAAGAGTTACCACAATTTTGCCGTTCTCTCCTCTGCTTTTGTGTTTTAAAGGATTTTCACTTAAAATAAGTAATAGAAGTTAGATTGTTCCTTGGGTTCATAAAATGTTGGCTTGTTTTTGTTATTGGCGTTTGTGCATCATTTTGGCAGTTTGTTTATAAATGAGGCTTCGAGGCCACCTGTTTCTACTTCATCGTATACCAATTGCTAAAGTTAGAACTACTATTATGTGCAAAGCATTGCCTCACCAGTGCTAGGAAATATTCTGCAACTGGCAAAAGTAAGAAATGGTATAAGATGTATTAAAATTCCTGGTATACCTAATGAAGCAGTCTATGCATTCATTCGTTTTCTCTATTCATCAAGGTATGTTGAAGACATGCTTTTTGTATCTTTTTTTCCTTTTTAAATACCTAAAGTGGTGATATATCTCTGGTAGAAATTATTATTATGTTATTTACCCTCTGTTTTTTTCATTATTTTGAATGGTACTAGAAGTCCATTAGTGTGTTTCTGTTCTAATACAATATTCTACTGAGAGTCATATAGTTATTACATTAATCTATTTACTTGAAATTTTATTCACAATCTCCTCATTAGCGAAGTGAATATTATTGTCTGGTTCCGTTTGGAATAGTTACTGCCTTAAATTAGGTTTTCAAGAGTTAGATTCAGATTTTGCAGAGCAAGTTGGCTTTAAGTTCTTTTTCTTCATTTCATCCATAATACCATAATAGTGTTTATCCTTATCATAATGCAGCTATGAAGAGGATGAGTTGAAGAAGTTTGTTCTCCCTTTGTTGGTTTTATCTCACTGCTACTTGGTTCCACAACTGAAAAGAGTTTGTGTATACATTCTGGAGCATGGCTGGCTAACTAAAGAAAATGTTATAGATGTGCTTCAGTTGGCAAGGAGTTGTGATGCACCAAGGCTCTTCTTCATATGTGTTCGCATGGTTCTAGAGATGAACAATTCCGAACTTCTTGTTCTATTAGAGTCTCCGGAATTATTAGCTTCAAAAGTTGAAAGAAGTTGTTCGAGTCTTAGAACAAAATTTTTAGCTTCACAAGTGGCAAGTAGAAGAAGCTCTTCTAGTCATGGAAGAAGATGGCACTTCATAATTTCTAATTCAACAAATAACACTTAAAAATTTATAGAATTAGAATCTTTCTTTAATAGTTGTATAAATCTAAAGGTGGGCAAGGACCGGACCCAACCGGGCTCAGGTCTGGGCCCGATTGGGACTAGTCTTTCATGGGCTTGGGATCGGTCTCAGGCCCATGAAAAATATTAGGGACCGGACCGGTCCCTAAGACTGACCTAAATAATTTCATTTACCCCCTTATATTTTATTTATTTATTTAGGGACTTAATCAAAATTATATATGGGGTTTAATCTAATTTTTATTGGTAATTTGTAAATTTTTAATTGGTTATAAATTTAAGGTGTTTTTAATTTAAACTTTAAAGAGATAATAATACTTTAATTTTAAGTTTTAACATAAATATAATATTCACATAATCACACTTCACAAATAAACAATTAAATTATTAATTTTCATCATCAATAATATTTACATTTTCCAAATCTATGTTTCTGAAGAGATTGAGTAGTTCGGGATCTTCAGGGTGCTGTTGATCTATTATATCCGCATGAGTCCAATCCCATAAACATGTTATGACTTCAATCATTTCATTGGTTAAAGCACATCTTATCTCTTCAACAATGCAGCCACTAATTGAGAATGTTGACTCAGATGTAATTGTCGAAACTGGCACAAATAAAATGTCATATGCCATTTGGGCTATTATAGGGAATTGACTTGCATTGTGGTTCCACCATTGTAGCACATTCATCTTACACTTCTCCTTCGTGGTCATGTAGGACATACAATTAAATACGCTTGATTTAAATCTAGCATCTACAATAAAACCTAATTCATATAAGAATGGAATATCTAACCAATATTTCTGGTATTTTTTTCATTGCAACAACAATGTCGCGCAAATCTTCATTATATCTATATGTAGCAAAAGTTGTAGAAATTCGAATAAAACATTTAATGCTACATAAGTAATAGGATAATAAATACCACTTAATAGATTAGTGAAATCGTAAAAAACTTTAAGAAACAAAAAAAATAGTTCAGAAATTGTCCAATCGGATTTGTTGACGACTTCCTCCGGATAGTTCTTTCGATTGACAAACTCTATAATTTGTATTGCAGTTGGTATAGCTTTTTCCAACATTAGGTATGTAGAGTTCCAATGAACAAGCATGTCTGTACATAACTTCTTTGGTTGAATCGGCAGATCCTCTTGGCGACAATATTTGTGAAATTTAGTCCATCTTGAATTGCTACCAGCGATGAATCCGATAGCCATGCTCACCCTTACAATCCTCGAATGTATAACTTTTAAACCTGCTTTAACAATCAAATCGATGATGTGACAAGCACATCTTCAGTGAAAAAAATTGTCTTCACCATGCGAATCCAATCTCTTTTCAAATAAAGAAATTGCCAAGGTATTAGCATCTGCATTATTAAGCGTTAGTGCCATAACTCTCTCAAATAATAAATATTCTTGCAAAACTTCAATAATTGTAAAATAAATAGTTTCAGCACTATGTTTTTCGTATAATGCGTTAAAACCTCTCAATTTTTGTTGTAAATGCCAACCATGATCTAGATAATGTGTTGTGACACTCAAAAAATTTGTTTTTGATCTAGCAGCTCATATATCTGAAGTAAGTGCGATAGATATATTGTTAAAATTTTGAAATTCATTTTTAAGTTGATTTTTTAATTTAAAAAAAAAGATTTTTAAAAACATTTTAAATAAAAAAAAAAAAAAAAGGATAAATGTTGGACAAAAGCAGTTTTAATCATTTGAACAAAATAAGGATTTTCAGATAAAGAAATAGAAGAGTCCGTAGCACATATGAATTTTGCTATTTCCTCTCATGCCGTGAGTGCATTGTAATTCCATGTTGAGAGAGTTGAGAATTGTGGATTAAAATTAAGTTGAGTTTAAATTTGCCTACCTAGTGCGGTACTTGAACCTGAACCGAACTAACAGAACTACTGCATTTGTTGGGGGTGCTTCTTCTCCAAGTGTTGCTGCAACGTTGAAGTCTTGTTCCCAACGCCAATAACAGTTGAACAAAAATTGCATTCCCCACATGTCTCTTCCCCCAACCCATTTAGCTTAGCCATTTCGATTTGGTGAAGAAGTGTCATACCCCGGACACGACCTTCTTTAACGGTCAGGCTATGGAGTCGCAACTTGCTTGCATTTGGTTGGACCCAGTCCTGACCGTTTGTGGTTGTGGAATTGGAGTTGTTGCCTCTTGAAAGGGTGAAAATGGATTAAACCCTTCCATTTCTTCGGTGGATAAATGTAATATTGATTTGGGGATGATCCTCTGAATGCATAAGTTCAAAATCCATTATGAATTTATAATAAAATAATAAATAATTAAAACGAAGAAATTGAATAATAATATGAATAATAGATGAAATTGAAAAATGGAAAAAAATTGAATAATATGAATAAATGTAAATGTAAATATAAATTGAATTGATGAGAATTTGAGATTTGGAGTAGCGAGATTGAGAGAAGAGAATAGATTGAGAGTTGAGTTGTGAAGAAAATGTGAAATATAAGGGGGTTTTCATAGTTGACATTTGGAGTAGCACATATGAATTTTGCTATTTCCTTTGGTGCTGTGAGTGCTTGTAATTTTATGTTGAGAGAGTTGAGAATTGTGGATTAAAATTAAGTTGAGTTTAAATTTGCCTACCTAGTGCGATACTTGAACCTGAACCTGAACCGGACTAATAGGACTACTGCATTTGTTGGGGGTGCTTCTTCTCCAAGTGTTGCCGCATTGTTGAAGTCCTGTTCCCAGCGCCAATAACGATTGAACAAAAATTGCATTCCCCACATGTCTCTTCCCCCAACCCATTTAGCTTAGCCATTTCGATTTGGTGAAGAAGTGTCATACCCCAGACACGACCCTCTTTAACGGTCAGGCTATGGAGTCGCAACTTGCTTGCATTTGGTTGGACCCAGTCCCGACCGTTTGTGGTTGTGGAATTAGAGTTGTTGCCTCTTGAAAGGGTGAAAATGGATTAAACCCTTCTATTTCTTCGGTGGATAAAACGTAATATTGATTTGGGGATGATCCTCCAAATGCATAAGTCCAAGAATCCATTATGAATTTATAATAAATAATTAAAATGAAGAAATTGAATAATAATATGAATATAAGGAAATGAAAATGAAAAATTGAATAAATGAAATAAATGTAAATTCATATCAATTGAATTGAAGAGAATTTGAGATTTGGAGTAGCGAGATTGAGAGAAGAGAATAGATTGAGTTGTTGTGAAGAAAATGTAAATATACGGGGGTTTTCATAGTTGACATTTGGGGGGCATGACTAATACCCCCCCCCCCCCCCCCCCCCCCCCCCCCGCCCCCCCCCAATTGCTTGCCAACAGTCAACTGACCATTGCATTAAGCATCCAACGGTCAGGCTACCCAAAGCAATATTTTATTTTGTTTGTCTTTTTGTTTTTTTGTAAAATATCAATTTAGTCCTCATATTTATTGTAAATAACAAAGGGGTTTTTGGCAATTTTCCAGGTGGCATTTTGAAAAAAAAAATACAGGTTTGGGCTCGGGCCTGGGCCTTCTTCCACGATTTGGGTCAGATTTTGGGACCAGACCCCTTAGGACAGGTCCTCAGGGTTTTTGGGTGAGCTTTTTGGGTCTGGTCCTAAATGCCCACCTCTATATAAATCAGTGTTTTAAAAACTCGGCCCGGCCCGGCCTGACTGGTTAAACCGGGACTTGGGACCTTCACCGGGCTGGGTTAACGATTTCCTTATTCACCCAAAACCCTAGAATTTGGGATGATGATTGATGAACAATTAAAGACCCGGATGTTAGGGCTTTTGAAGAGAAAGTGTCGGTGAGTGTAATGATGGCGACAAAATTGATTTTTAGTGGCTTTTGTCGGCGATTGGCAAGGTGAACGAGAGTGGGGTGAGATGAATTTTTGTCAAGAGGCTGAGGGAAGTATTTTCGTGATGATGGGGAGGGCTGTCAACGTCAACGGTGGTGAGATCTAGTTGAAATCGGCTGATTTCGCCCAAATCTTGGGTAAATTTTCTAGGGTATAGGTTTAATGGATGATTAGGATTGCATTTGGTTTGTCGCCGCTGCCCAATGTTTTAAAACCAAACCCAAGGTGAAACTTGACAAAGTTACCGGGTCTTAGGTTGACCGGTTTAATCGGTTTGACCGATCAGGTGATAAAAATTTAAAAATTCAACAAATACACCCTTGAAAATTATAATTAAGTCTCTACAAGTTTGAAATTTAGCAAACACACCTCATATACAAATCGACAGTCGACTGGTTGGCGACGATGACACCTCAAATGCAATCCCAATCATCCCTTTAGCCCATTCCCCATAAAATCTACCCAAGATCTGGCCAAAATCGGTTCCCGAAATCAAACCGATTTCGGTCAGATCTCATTGACACGACATCGACATTCTAGGCTAGATCTCACTGACATCGGTGTCGACATTCCAAGTTAGATCTCACCGACATTGGTGTCTCCTCTCTTCTTCTTGACCAAAACCCACTCATGCCACCCCTGTTAACCTCGCCAATCGTCGACAAAAGCTGATTGTTGTCGCCACCTATTTTTTTCTATTTTTAGTCAATTCACTTACTAGAAATCAACTTTGTCACCACCATTTTACTCACCGGCACTTTCTCTTCAAAAGCCCCAACATTCTGACCTTCAATTGTTTGCTGATCATCATCCCAATTTTTAGGGTTTTTGGTAAATAATGAAATAGGTAATCCAACCAGATAAAAGCCCTGGGTCCCAGTTGAATCGGTCAGGCCAGGCTGGGTTTTAAAACAATGCCACCGCCAACCAGTCGATGGTCGATTTGTATTTAGGGTGTATTTGCTAAATTTTAAACCTTCAAGGACTTAACTGTGATTTATAGGAGTGTATTTGCTGAATTTTAAAATTATTGACATTGGTTAAACCGGTCAACCCTAGACCCAGCAACTTTGCCGGGGATGAACCCCAAGTTGGTTATTAAAACATTGGTA